CAACAGCAATAACAGCAAGAGGCACCAATAATAAAAGCAACAAATATTATGCCTTTTGGCAACGTTTTTCATACTCGAACTCCAACTCGAACTCCACTTTCAGCCAGCGGCAGGCAGCAGGCACCAGGCAGCAGGCAGAAACGAAGCCACGAGAACTCATAGTCGGAGTGCGGTACGAGTGCGCTTACAAACATGGTCATAATCACGCGTTAAATTAATGAGTTTAAATGCTATTTTTGGCCTTAACTATTGCAGCCACACACAAGCACACAGACACGTTTAATTGAAGCCAAGCGGAGGCAGCCACACAGCCTCTGTGCCTCAGTTGCAGCCACTCCGATTCCGACGACTTCAGCTGCAACTTGGCCAAGAGACTTCGTCTCTTTTCGCAAATTATGAGAGACTCGACTCGGCAGCCAAGTTCAGGCTCAGTCTCTGGCTCTGGCTCTGTCTGAGGCTCAGGCTCAGGCTCAAGCTCAGTCTCAGGCTTTGGGCCAACCGGCTCAGAGCTTGGCTATATTAAATTTATTTTAATGCCAAGCTGCAACTCCAACTGCAGTCCTAGCACATGGCCAGTGGGCATGGATTTTCTCTCCCATGGAGTCCAGACCTGGCCCAAATCGCGTTTCGCTAATTATTAACCCATCCGCCATCCGCTATCCGGCGCCCCCCTGTAGCCGATCCTCATCGTGCGGCAGACATCGATGGTTTGTGAGTTCAATGCAGATGTGGAAGGAACCGTTTCTGGTGGGAAGGAAACCATGTGGCATATGACTAAGGAAAGGTCAGGAGGCCTGTCAATGGGCCTCCGCTTAGGTGTTGCACTGTGATTCATTCATACCAAACGGATAAATATTATATGAGCAAACAGATAAATGATTCAGATGCAGATTGAAACTGATAGATACAAATGGTAGTCGGCCGAGCGCAGCTCAAATTATGAATAATGTCTGCCAATTATTGGCCTGTCATAATATACTTGTTTAGTGGGAGAAATACAGAAGTGGGCAGCAGATGGTGCCATGTCGCTGCTGCCAACTTCTCTCTGGTCGATTATCACGCAATAGAAAATTTCCTTTAATTTATGATATTTAAAAACTGCAACCCCAAGAGGCCGCCTGATCTGGACACTGCAACAACCCGTTCATGTTATTGTCGGCAACATTGCTAATAATTTTTTAATGCCACCATAATTAAGACGAAGGCAATTTGCCATTTTGCAGTTTGTTGTTTTTGTTGTTGTTGGTGTTGCTGTTGTTTTTCTGTCTTTTGCGTAAATGAAATGAAATAAAGGTAAGTAAAACGAGAGGGTAGGAGGTATAGCAGGCGATAAGAGGAGGAAGGTGGAAGTCAGGTAGTTAGAGCCAGTCCCAGATGATTATTGGCATTACGTGGACGTGCATAAGTCGAACTTACTCGGCGATACAATTAATTTATACTTAAACACACACAACACAACGCAACACACACCGACAATTTCAATGTTGCATGCAGCTGGCCGCACAAGCCACACTACTCGCCTCGCCTCGCCTCGCTCGTCTCTCTCGCCATCTCGACACACAAATTGCTTGGTAATTTATTTGCAATTAATTTTGAATTAATATCAACGAAATGTCTGCAAAGGAATTTGGGTCTTGTCTTGGCTCCTGGGAATACTTTTCGAGTGGACAAAAAAGCAAACAAAAAGAGAAGGGTGCCATTGCCTGAGCCTATGCCACAGAAACACGAATATTATTATGGGACTTGCAAAAGGATCAAAATAATAATATAAAGATTCCTTCACTTACGTTCCTTCTCATCACAAAAGATCTGGTAATTTATCAATTTGTTCACCATTTAAATTACCCTCTCGTTGGGCGTCTCCGGGCCCCTCTTGCGTTTGCCGACAATGGGCCATCTTTTGGCTCATTTGCAGTCAATTTAGCACTCACGTGGTTAGTCATAAAAATATCTGCACAGAACATTCATTTAATAAGCAATTATTGTCTGCTCCTCTTTAAAATCTTTCTGCCTGCCAGCCTGCCCGCCTGCTGCTGTTGCACATACGCGTCAAGACTTTCAACTAATTACAAACGATTTACATGCAACACAGCTGGGAGTACGAGTACGCTAACCAGGGCCAGCGAAGAACATTGGTAACAAGAACCAGGCCACGGGTTGGGTACGGGTATGGAGATGGGGTAGTGCACGGGACGGGACGGGACACTGGCCCAGAGCAGGCTTCGTAGCATGGATAATCCCGCTTAAATATTTGCAACATTTAAAGTAAAATGCAGAAACCGGTTTGGGCAAACGCCACGATCGTGATGATGATGATGATGACACTGCAGATGTGAGTCCACACTCATACACTCACTCACGCACGCACTCATTCACTCACTCACTCACTCACTCACTCACTCACTCACACTCACACCCACGAGCACAGCTGAACAGGCAAATCAAATCCGCTTGGCACGCACGTAGAAGCAGCGGCCTCCGCCCTCCTCCTTCCTATGGACAGACCACAGACTGATTGCCACAGTTCATTGCGCATGCGTGGCATGTTCGTCTCCAACGCCAGCAGCAGTAGCAGTAGCAGCAGCAGCAGCAACAAAAAGGAGTACGAGTAGCAGCAACAGAAGGAGCACAATTTGCGATCAGCTTATAATTAGTAAAACTAAATTAGAGTACAAAACGAGTGGTTGTGGTGGTGGTGCACACCCCGTACTTTCACCGGCAACAGCCAGCACCGGCCAGAAGGCTTGGCCTGAGCAGCAGCCGACAGACATCAGACTGTGGCTCATTAGACGCCTATGACTCACACAGCGGGTTGGCAGCTTTCAAGTGCTGCCGCCTTGGCCCCAAAATACTCGGTCCAGCTGCGTAGTCAATGAGTCCGTGCGCCACTCAATCCCCCTCATAATTAGCTGTAATATATCTTAAGACAAGTCAAGCCAACCTCTCCTTGTACCCTCTACCACCGCAACCTCCTGCTAATGCTAATGCTTCTGGTTAGTGTATGGGGAGGGTATTTTAACTTACTCGTAAAGGGATTTAAGTACCTAATTCCACTGATATTCTGCGAAATGGATTCGATTTCCATCTGGAAATATTTATCTCCCATTTGGCGGCGAGTCTCACTTCCAATAGATTATCCCCTACTATTCCCCTTAGAAAGTGTATCATTGCCTCCCGTTTAGCACATTAATTTTCCAATGGATTATACTTGTGTCTTTATCTTTTTTTTCTATGGCCTCTAATTCGGTTTTTATTGCACCTGGATTTTCTTGTTTTCCACTGCGCCAATGTACAATTTATTTCTCAGTTAGACATATTTTTCCCCGATCCGCTCGTATCCGCTCGTATCCGCTCACTGTGTGTTTCTATGTGTGTGTGCTGATTATTTTGCGCTTATTATTTGTTGCCTTTGGAGCCGTTGCTGCCTGGTTTTTGTCTTTATTTTTATTTTATATTTTTTTCTTTAAGTTAATTTTCAATAAATGTTGCGGCTTTGTTGCTGCTTGTCTGTCCGTTGCAGTCGATTACTCATTTGACTGTATGAACACATAAATTGTATGCACTTTTTTTTTACTTTTGTTTGCCTATTTTTATATTTTGATTGCTTTATTTTTTTATTAATTGCTTTTTACAACGTTTTTGGCCAGGGCCTCCAAGGAGGGGGAGTGAGTGCCAGCGTGTGCGTGCTGTGTCGTGTGAGCTGATTGTGTCATTACTTATAGAGTGGATCGGATCCGATCGGACACATAGCGAGCTAGAGACAGATACAAAGCGCACCAAAAAAGAAAAACCACAAAATGCGAACGAGGAGATACTTGAGACCAGAATTGGACCTGAATTGATTTGCTCCTAGAATTGGGTCAACAATTTGCAACTGTTGGGATTTCATTGGGCATTTGAATGGGAATGCTATTGAGACAGGAATATTGATTCACTCTTACACTGTTAGGATGTATACAAATGAGGTTGAGATTTCCCAAATATTTCACAACTTTTTGTAAATTTATTCAATTGAAAAGTTTACCATAAAATGCCTGTATTGGTTTAGATATCGCCTGACACGCTTCTTCAGCCTCTTGCCTCTTCTGCTGATCCCTGCTGAATTTATCAGACCCATAATTTAGGCATTTTTACGAGCAACGACAACAATCGCCCAGAGCCCCAAAGACCAATGCCAGCCAGAAATTAAACCAAAATAAACTTGAAAATAGAAGTCGCCTTGATCAGCAGATCAGCGGCTGTATTGTGGCTTGTGGCTTGTGGCTTTGGCTGTGCTGTTGCCAGTGGAACTGGAGCTGGAGCTGGCTGATTCGCTGCTTAACTATGTGCCTGCCACAAGGCAACAAGCTGCAGAAACCAAAAAGAACCAAAAAAAAAACCACGAGAACCAGAGGACATGCGAAATTTTTATTTATTGCTGACAATTGCACAAAAGTTTCCCGTTCCCCTACCCCATACCGTTCCCTTCCCTTCACGTCTTCGATCAGTATTTTTATGGTCATTAAAATTGGGACAAAAATATTTTGACCGAGCTCTGAATTTCAGCCACAGTTTGTTTCTGGTTTTTGTGTGTGTTTGTTGAACGTTTCTAGAGCACGACTCTCTGCCTGGGGCAAGAGTTTTGAGCTTAGCGGCAGAGTTTGTGCTTTGCCCTTGATTGGTGGAGTTGCAACATTCTGCTGGCCTGCGCCTGCTGGCAGATTGAACTGATTAGTCGAGTCCAAAGCTGCGACTAATTAATGATCCGTCGCCTGGGCTTTGCATGCTAATTAAATTTGAGCGCTGCAAAGTAGATTCAGTCGCAGTGATGGCAGTGCAACACGTGACTCACGTCACTCCGGAGAGAGTTAACCTATGAGAGAGAGAGAGAGAGATATATGCATGTGTATATCCCTAACCTAAATCAGGGGCAAGCGTAAGTGCTATCACGCAACCATCTCCCATCTATCATACAGTTGCTCAATTCAGGAAGGTGGAAATGCAAATTCTCAGCGACTCACCGACTCGGTCTTGATGTTGAGGGTCATCACATGCGACGAGCTGTTGGATGAGGCCGATGGCGGGGAGCCGGGCGCCACCGCACCACCGCTGCAGGGTGACTGGGCGGCTGTGGCATGCATCAATGGCGATCGACTGCGACTGGCCAGTGGACTGGCCTCGCGCAGCGGACTCGCCACGGTACCGGCACCCATGCCCAATTGCGAGTAGGGGGATCCGGGCGACTTGTTGGCATTTGTGGAGCAGTTCGAGGGCACTACGGCGGCGGTGGTTGTGCAGCTGGTGTGGGTGCTGGTGGCAGAGCTCGAGGAGGAGGAGCTCGAGGAGCAGGACGATGATGAGGAGGATGAGCTGCTGCTGATGTTCTTGTTGCTGTTGTTGTTGCTGCTGCTGTTATTGCTTCCAGTGCAAATCAATGACTGAATTTTGGTATTGTTGTTGTTGTTGTTATTGCTGTTGTTGTCATTGTTATTGTTGTTGTTGTTGGTAGTGCTATTGTTGTTGTTAACACTTGCCCCAGCACCCGGCATCAAGCTGCCATCGCAAAACTCCCGCTTCACAATATTGTTTGCATTGCTGTGGCTGTTGCTGTTGTTGCTGCTGCTGCTGCTGCTGCCACCGCCGCTGGTGTTTGAGTTGACCCCGCCACTGCCACCAGGAGTGGCACCAATTGCCGCCTCGCAAGGCAACACCGTGCCCAGCATCTTGTCTAGCGTCGTTGTGTACTGTGACGTTGTCGATTCAGCGGCACCGGCAGAGTCCTCGCAGCCCTCGGCCATGTCACTGTTGCACCGCTCGCATCATGGGCGCCACGCCTGCAACAACAAGAAGGTGGGTGTCACACGTCATAAAGGTTGGACCATAAGCATACACATAAGCATTCTGCAAGTACCTCAAACCAACACATATACTCCATGGAATTTCCGATGCTTTCTGACTGTACGCCCTATACTCGTATATAATTTATTCAAGTGTAATAGATTCCAATTTAAAGCTACATTAGAATGAGCAGTGAGCACACATTCCCCTATGGAACTTCCTTTATGCCGCTCTCCTGCTGTTGCCTTCATAATTTAGAATTTACATTTATCGAATATATTTGGTGCACTTAAGGCCCCTACCACCCGCCGCATTAATTTCATTAATTATCCCTGTTGACTCACGTTGAACCACACACACACACACACACGCGCACACACAGAAACAAACAAAAACACAAGGGGTATGCCACACATGCCACATCATTTTGCAAATGCAAAACGCAACCCGAGTCTGAAGCTGAGGCGGAGGCGGATGCGGCCGAGAGTGCGAGGCTGGAGTCCTCTGCAGTCCATGCATGTCCGTGTTCATGTCCATGTCCTTGCCAGGCCACGACGACGGCGCTCTGCACTGGACAAGGAACGACTACTGCCCAAAGGGGCAGGATAAAGGAGGCAATGGTATGATGGATACAAAGGCCGAAGCATACGGGTGGTTGCAACAGCAGCAGCAGCAGCAGCAAGAAGAGCAGGAAGAGCAGGATGTGGGGGCAGTCTGCACAGTCGTAATCGAAAATTTTACACCTACTCTGCATTATAATTTATACGCCTGGCGGGACAACTGACCAAAGAAGGAGATGGCTGGTGGCCGGTGGCCGGTGGCACTGTGGCAAGGGTGTGTGGCAAGCATGTCTGGCAAGAAAGTTTTCCCTACGTACATATGTATATATACAAGAAGAACCAGAAGGAAAACGGCAAGACGGTGCCGGGTAGAAGGCAAGCATTTATATACGGAAAATATGGCTCAGACTGGGAAATTAATCCAGAGAAGATAAAGACTAGCTGCTGCTCCTCCTGCTGCTAGAAAGTTTTCGGCACACAGATAGAGGCACGAACCGAAAGCTCGAAATTTCGTCTGTGAAGATTCGTGCCCAACCCTAATATTCAATGCAAAAATCATCTGATAATCATCTCTCGGCTCGAACATATTCCATTAACTGTCTGCTCTATTACCATCCCAAAAGCACCCAGAGCCGGCATTTAAGCTCAGCCCAAAGGCGCCCAAATTGTGACAACAATTTGCACTAAAGAGCTTATAGAATACCTGCCCGGGCCACATCGAATCCCCTGGAAAACTAATCTGGAAACAAAGGAAACATCAATGGCAATGCCTTGACATTTGGCTTACACACACAGAAGGTTGCCCGAAATTTGGGCCTGATTCGACGAGTGTTTTTGAGTAATCGTGCGGTATGGGTGGATCGATGGGATTGGAAAGGAAAGGTCCTGGCTTTGTCTTCGGTTCTCTGTTGCATTGTCTGCAGGTCTACACAAAACGGGCGTTGATTTTAATGCATAATGCATATGGGCTCCTGCTTATTGCCTGCTCACCGTTCCCCTCCCCACCTGTCAGTATCCAGTTCCACTGTGTGTGGCATACACAGTGATGTTACTGGGGTTCTGTTGCCCTGCCAGTAGCCTCCCACTGTCGGCAGTGGTAATAATGCAAGCAACTGCACTCGGAACTGAGGTGGACTGGGAGTCAGAGTCCGAGTCAGGGTCCGAGTCATAGTCGCTTTCAAAGTTTCCGTAGCTCGGATTCGGACTCTCTGTTGGTGGGTGGGGTGACGGTGGGGTTGTAAGTGGGTGGTGTTGCATGTGTCGACGCTGGCCAGCCGGCAGCAGTCAACGAACGCACTTTTCCGGCCACACTGCCACAGAGGCATCGCCGTAATGAGCCCAGAAGCTTTAAGGGGAGCGGGCGAGCGAGCGAGGAATGTCGGGACTGTGCCTTGAAAGTTGGAATGTTGCACTACTCGTACATGCAATGCCGATGTCTGAGACAGAGGCAGAGGCATAGACCAAAGCCAGAGGCAGAGGCAAAGGCATAGCCATAGCCATGGCCCAGGCAATGCTTCGTGTTTGTAGATTTTGGCCAGGAAGCAGCAGGTTGGCTAGAGGGGGAGGGGGAGGGTGTGTAATAATTAATTTTGTACGTTGCATGCAAATGTCTGGCCATGGCTGGTCCTGGTCCTGAGCCCTTCCACCATGTGCCATATGCATAAGCAGCAAAAACAATCCATGAAAACAGCAAACAAACAACAGCACAGGGCTCACATCAATGCAACATACAAAATTATTTCAAGTATGCGTCAACAGCGAATGCCAAACCTACATGGATTGTGTGTGTGTGTGTGTGTGTGCAGCAGTATGTAGAACCACACGGCAAAGAGACGCTCCCAAAAGACAGCTGCTGCTGCTGCTAATGCTAATGCTGCAACATGTTGTGAAAGTTTAGACGGGGGCCACATGGGCTGCATGGCAACACACGGCAAATTGCAGCGACAAAATGTGCAACCAAATTAAGTACAATTTGCGCATATTAAAAGTCTGGCAAAATTGCACAGGCAGCGGCAACAGCAACATGCAACGCCAGCAACATTTTGTCGCTTCCTGCGCTTGCAGCAGCAGCAGCAACAGCAGCACCAACAGCAGCATCAGCTATGAAATCTAATCAATAACTAGAAAACTAGTAGAATTTCATGTAGCACACTAAATAGCACGATTAATTATCGCCATGCCGGCGACTATAATTCAAATCAAGTGCGCTTCATTTCCAGTGCAACATGCCCCATCCGCAACATGCACACACACTGCAGAACACACCGCAAACCAAACCGGTCTAATTATACTCATTTTCTTGGTGGCTGCAACATGTGGCACCACTGCAAGACCAGGCTGCCAGGCTATAAATTGCAATTTCCATGCAACTTTCTACTGGCCCCGCGCAACAGAGAAGCGATCGCAAAAATTTATCATTCAAAGTCGCCTCGGATCGACTGGGATCGCTTTGGATCGCCTGGGATCGAGTTGCATGGCAGGCGTTTTGTCTTCGACAGCAATTCGTTGGCAATATTCAAATTAATAAAATCATCAATAATTTTGCATGGCTTGGCCCGGCAAAAAACATGTAGAACATGTTGCTGCTACCGCTGTGGCTGCTGCTGCTGCTGCTGCTGAGACTTGTTGTAATTAATAGTCAAACTAAATTGTAGCACACTTGCCATCATTTAGAGTTAGGAGAGCCAAATGTGGCACAAAGCAATTTTTGATTAGAAACCAGTGCCCCGGACACTGTCCGCAGTCCGGACACCAAACAACTTCATTTTTATGGCCAACTCTTGGGCTATTAAATTTTTCCTTTGATTTGTAATTAGCGCAAAATGCATATTAAATAGCCAAACGACAGAAAAAAATCTCTCAAGTGCCACACAGCTGTGCTCTGCTGTGTGGAAGTGAATGGCACAGAGCTGTGTGTGGCAGAGCCACAAGGTTGGACAAGGGGCTACCGCTCGTACTGCTACTTTTCGGCTACTTTGCCACAGCAAAAAATAATCAATAATGCGGGTGGTAGCCATTACCCCTGCAACATTAAGTCATTGAGTTGAAATTATTTATGCAACATTTATTACGCACACAAACACACACCACACCACACGCTGCCGTGCATGAAAAGTTTTGCAAGTTGTTTGTTGCATTGTTTTAGGGTTGTTGCCGCTGCCTCCTGACTCCTGTCCTGTCCTGACTGCCTGCCCCTTCTGCTGCTGCTGGTGGGTGGTGTGCTGCAGAACGTGCAATTTTCTTAAAAATAACACACGATTACACATGAAAATACAATGGCTGATATATTATGCAAAAGACCAAGGGTTAGGCCAAAGTTATAGAGAGAGTGTTGTGTGGGTGTGGGTGTGGGTAGAGGAGACAGGACAGACGCACATATACGCATCGAACTTTTAAGTAATCAAGGTGTAGCAGCACCACTACCCATGGAAGCTTCCATCACCTCCACTGATGGAAGAAATTAAAATGGAAACAACAAGGAAATATTGTCGCAAGTAACGAAACATTTCATACACTTAGGGATCGATCTAACGAGGGCAGGCTACAAGATATATAGATGCAAATTGAAGCACATTTGAATGCTGATAATTAACCACTAACCAATGTAGTGCCAATATCTTGTATACCCCACCAAAAGGGTACAATGAGTGGCTGAGTGCACGGGTTAGGGGCTAACTGAATGCTCTGGCCCCTGGTCAACCAGCACACTCCACTGCAGACCAACCTCAAGCCCCCCCCCGTCCGTCCTTAAACAATGAGGCACTTGCAATCTGGTCAGTGGACTATGGCCAACGGTCTTTTATACTATTCGATTACTCGATTACTCACGTACGAGAGCCAGTTACGACCATTCAGTCGTACATGCAAAGTAAAGTATGTATATTTTCCACTCAAATCATTAAAAATATAATAATAATAATGAAATTTGCGTGATTCAAGCAGAGCACGCACGCACTAGGCGATGCCAATAACAGCGGCAACAACAACAAAAACAACAATTGGCAGTGGCATGCGGAGCAGCAGCAGCAGCAGCAGCAGCAGCGGCAACAATAAACATGTGCAACCAAACGCCCCCAGAGGATGAGAGCAAAAAAAAAAAAAAAATTGCCCGGAAAGGAAGTCAAAGTCATGCCCACAGTCTGGAGCTGAAAAATCAACCCTCTCATAGCGTGAGTCCTGCGACCATCACACACACTCACATACATTGTCCTTAATGCGCCGCGTAATGAGTTATTCGCATTTTTTTCTCCGTTTTGTGTTCGCCAAAGCTCGCTGCTGCTCCCCTAACCCTTCGTCCCGTCGATCGCCTACATTTCACGATTTTCATTCATTTAGAAACGGAAATATTAACATTGGAAAAATAAGGGAAGGAAGGACGTTTTTTTGGTAAGTGGAGAAGTTCAAATGTGCTACAAGCGATACCACCATTGTGATAG